CAAGGTCAACAAGTTGGAAACCAAAGTAGACAAACCAGAAAAGGCCAAAGAGGAGGTAGGAGAATTGAGGAACAAAAAAGGGATGATGGGAACCTTGGAAGGGGTTCAAGGGAAGCAGAACGAAATGGCAAGTCACCAGGCCCGGATGGACTTACGGCAAAATATTACAAAAAGTTAAGTGAGCAATTAGTGAATCCCTTGAAAGATGTCATGAATGAGATATTGATTACAGGTGAAATCCCAGAAACATGGAAAGAGGCCTACATGACATCCCAAAACAAGATGCAGACTTGCTGCAAATTAAAAATTACAGGCCTATTTCTTTGTTAAACAACAATTACAAATTGTTTGCAAACATATTAGCTAATAGATTGAAAAAAATACTAAATGAGTATATACATTAAGATCAGGCAGGGTTTCTTCCAGGTAGACAAATGAAGGAGAATATAAGGAATATTCTGAATATAATAGAATACCTGGAGGTTGAAAATTAAAAGAAAGCAGCAACGATGCTCATTGATGCTGAGAAAGCTTTTGACAACGTCTCTTGGAAATTCATGACAAAGTTACTCAAATAAATTAAATGTGGTCCTGTCAGGGGACTGCCATCGGAACAGGGAAGGGAGGCAGAGGGGCCGTTGGGATACAGGGAACCTCTGAAAATCTTGCGAAGCAGTTCCTCTTCCTGCGGTGGGGAAAGCCACACCTCCAGGGTAAAGGAGGGGAAAGGGCTAGAGGATGCTGCTGGGAGCCCCAGCCGGCCAGGAGGGAAACATGCCTCTTCCGTCGCTCACCTTGCGCAGAGGGGTAAAATGCAAAGAAGGAAGGAAACGGCTGGGGGTGACTAAGTTCTTATGTTGGGGGAAGAACCCAGAAGAGGCCAATCCTAGATTCTGCTAGTGATAGAGGCAGACATTAACTTGTGGTTCTGCACTGTAAATAGTTTTGCACCAAATAAAATCTGTAAAAGACAGGTCAGAGTCCTGCCTGGTTACTCACGAGCAACCACCACTGCCAGGAATATTAGCAATTTACTCAGCGCTAAAAGGACAACTAATTATAAATCAGGTGATAACGGACGAATGTAAGATACAAAAAGGAACTAGACAAGGATGTGCATTATCACCATTGTTGTTCATCCTGGTACTGGAAGTACTTGCCAAAAACATAAGAGCAGATAAATAGATAAATAGATTACAGGCATAAAAACTGGGAAAAGTGAGTTTAAATTAAAAGCATATGCTGATGACTTAGTGATAACTGTGGAAGACCCAAAAACCTCACTCCCTAACGTTATAGAAAAGATTCAGAAATTTGGGGAAGTGGCAAGACTTAAATTAAACAGGAATAAAACAAAACTACTAGTTAAAAACTTGAAGGAAGGGGGGGGGAGGAATTGGAGCTAAATATTGAGATAGAAGTCCACAAAAAGGTTAAGTATTTAGGGATATGGCTAACATCAAGAAATATAAACTTATACAAAGACAACTATGAAAAATTTGGCTTGAGATAAAAAGAAATTTAGAAATATGGAGCAGAATGAATCTCTCATTGCTAGGAAAAACAGCGGCGGTCAAAATGAATGTGCTGCCAAAAATGCTATTCCTCTTCCAATTAGTCCCAGTAATTGTGAAAGATGAATGTTTTAAAAAATGGCAGAAAGAAATCTCTAAGTTTATCGGGGGGGGGGGAGGCCAAGGATAAAATACAGTGGTATGTAACCCGAGGTACCACTGTACCTTTTTTGATTTGGCTCAAACTTCGAATCTGATGGAGAACAAGACATTTGTTTGGTAAAGAGTTCACTTATTATAGCCATGTTCATGAAAGTAGTTCAAGAATAGACTCTTTATGGATTTCAAGAGAGTTGGAACCTCAAGTTAAAAAAATCAAGATTAATCCCAGGACATTTTCAGAACATAATTCCTTAATAATGGAAATACAAAAAGAAAGTCAAATTTCATTTAAATGGAGATTGAATGAAGCTTTATTAGATGATCAAAAATTTATAGAAAAAGTTAAAAAGGCTTTGAGTGACTATTTCGAAATAAACATTCAAGGACAGACAAAATTGCAGACAATCAGGGACACAAGTAAGGCGGTAATGAGAGGACTGTTTATATAACAAACTTATTTTAAAAGAAATTGAAAGGAAAAAGGAAAAAAGGTATCTTGGGTGAAATTGCGGATAAGGAGAAACAATTGTCAAAGAAAGCAAATAAAGAGTCAGTTAAACAGGCGATTGTTGTTGTTGTTGTTGTTGTTTAGTCATGTCTGACTCTTCGTGACCCAATGGACCAAAGCACGCCAGGCACTCCTGTCTTGCACTGCCTCTCGCAGTTTGGTCAAACTCATGCTGGTAGCTTCGAGAACACTGTCCAACCATCTCGTCCTCTGTTGTCCCCTTCTCCTTGTGCCCTCCATCTTTCCCAACATCACGGTCTTTTCCAGGGAGTCTTCTCTTCTCATGAGGTGGCCAAAGTATTGGAGCCTCAGCTTCAGGATCTGTCCTTCCAGTGAGCACTCAGGGCTGATTTCCTTCAGAATGGAGAGGTTTGATCTTCTTGCAGTTCATAGGACTCTCAAGAGTCTCCTCCAGCACCATAATTCAAAAGCATCAATTCTTTGGCGATCAGCCTTCTTTATGGTCCAGCTCTCACTTCCATACATCACTAACTATACGGACCTTTGTTGGCAAGGTGATGTCTCTGCTTTATAAGATGCTGTCTAGGTTGGTCATTGCTTTTCTCCCAAGAAGCAGGCGTCTTTTAATTTTGTGGCTGCTGTCACCATCTGCTGTGATCATGGAGCCCAAGAAAGTAAAATCTCTCACTGCCTCCATTTCTTCCCCTTCTATTTGCCAGGAGGTGATGTGTTGGAATGAAATCACGACAGACGAGTAGTAGGTGTCATGTGAGAGGCGTCTCTGGAGCAAGCCCCGAGAACTCTCTTTTATTGAATATTACAAACATTGCCACAGGTGCGCTCGTTGCTGATTGGTTGATACAAACACAAAGCAACTTGTTGCTGATTGGTTAACACAAGCACAAGGCGAGGGTTACGTATAGGCATTAATCACCAATAGATTAAAGGCTGGGAAATGGAGCACAGAACTAGACAGGCATGAAACGTCCTAATTAAATTATAACTAATGATTGATATAGCATGACTAAAACAATTACTAATGATTGATCATAACATGAAAGAATATAATAATCGAGTTCCGTAGATGTGGTCAGCTATGCATTAAGAACAGGTCATAGTGTTTTCATGAACTTAAGATGAACTGAGCATCCTAGGGAAATGAGGGAATGTCTTGGTATTTAGAACAGGTTGTACAGTATGTACAGAAGCAGAGAAAAGCTTAGAAGCGAGACTTCCCAGAATGCCAGAGAAAAGAAACAGGACTTCCCATAATGCCACAGTTATGTGCAGAAAGAGAACTTCCCTTCATCTCCCCCTTTCTTTTCTTGTTTGCGAGGTGTTCTGGGTAAATAAGACAAAAATACTTCGGGATACGTGGTATGCCAGCGAATGCCCGAAATAAGTTCGCCAGGGTTGACGGGACAAAAATATTTCGGGATACGTGGTCTGCCAGCGCATGCCCAAAATAAGTCTGCCCACATCTCCCCTAATGTTTACTGTCGGTGCTGCCATTTCGCAAAGTAGGCAGCAAGGAGTTTATTGGGTGGCTGAGGGGGAGAGAGAAGCTGAGACAAAAGACTTATGAGGCTAGGAATGCATTGGAGGAAGCAACATAGCAAAATTAATATACATATTATGACAATGGCATATTGAAAGAGATTACGAAGCCAAGTAAGGTTTGGCAACCAAGCGGTAAGCCACTGGGTGAAAGAATCCCAGAGGCCAGAAAATCCAACGTCCTGTTTAATGTGGTGTGTAAGATTTTGCAAATGAGAGATTTGGCTTTGAATGGCTTTAGAATTATCAGTAATATTGAAACAACACGTCATTCACTTGTTCACAGCCATAATGATGAAGCATCAGCAAATAATCTATAGCAGCGCGGTTCTGCAAAAGTCCATACTGGAGTTCACTTTGTTCTTTATTCAAAAGGTGAAGGCCTTGAGAAGTATAATTCAGGGCTTTTGCTGCAGAACAAGCTAAAGAATTAATGTTTCTACTATTGCGTACAGCCAATCCAGGGACTCCTAAGAGAGAAACAGCTAAGGAGATATATTCAGACCTACTGGGAAGAGAAATTGAATCATCACAATCGTTAGTTAATTCAATAGAGCGGCGATATCGAGAGCGGGTCAAATGATGCTTTTGGGGTAATACGATGGACAAACGGCTTAAACAACAGGGTGTTCCATGGCTGATGTTTGCTGGAATGTAATTAAATGTATAGCCAGGACACGACCAGAACCAACCTGCAGGTAGTTTTGTGTATTTATATACATAAGAAATATTTACATAATTAGAGCAGTGGAAGTTATCTTTGGCCATTTTTACACAGTTGGTTTTTGTGCAATTCACCATACGGGCGCAAGTGACATTAAAAGAAGCCACGTATGGGGTCAATAAGTCAATGGCCAGAGGTGGGCGTCTGCGCACTTGGTTACCCCAGACATAGTAACCAGAATAACCAAGGGTGCGTAGAGAATCATTTTCGGGTAGGGATGAGAAAAACCAGGTATCATTTTGTATATCAAAAAGGGTCATGGCAAACAGGGATAAGGCAGGAGCCAAGGATTTCCCCTATAGATACCTGTTGGGTTAGGCAAAAGGAAGAAATATTGAGGGTCTTTGCAAAAGATTCCCACACATTTGTTGGTGTGTGGGTATCGCTATTAGGAGCGGAGGCAGAAAGAGGCAAAAACAAAACGCTGAGAAGGAGCACTATCATGGAATTAATATTAAGGCAGGAAATAATACACATAAGCAAATTCTCAGGGGTTGCTTCAAGCTGCTTTTCCTTTCTAAGCTGTTCAGCCTGAAATGAGAGTGATTTTATTTGGCCCCACGTCACTGGTCCATTACGATTTCCCCGCTTGCGAGTCCTGGGGGGGCTGGACGCCGCATCCTGGGCGATCTGTAGTTTGCGGTCGAACTGCGGTATCGGATCCGGTAGGGTCTGTCGCCACGCCATGGTATAGGCGGATGCAGCGTGCGGGAACCCAGCGAGCACCCTGTGGAGTAGAAATTGCAGCGTAACCCTTTCCCCAGGTGATCAGTTTTACAGGTTCACTCCATTCGTTGGAGGGTAGTATCTTATAGCGGACCAATGGGGCTGGGAGTATCTCAGTTTGCTGAAAGTGCTTCTGGAGGCGAGTATAAGATTGATGATCCTGTATGGAAACATTCAAATGATTGAGAGTAAAGAGAACACTGGCCAACCAGCCTTCCTTTTCAGAGAGTGAGGCTGGGACTCCGGCCTTCTTTTCTTGTCGAATCAAGGCAGTTTTTAAAGTGCGATTGGCACGTTCAACAATCGCTTGGCCTTGAGAATTGTAGGGGATGCCAAATAAATGGTGACTATTCCAAGTTTCACAGAACTGAGCAAAGGTTTTTGCACAGTACGCTGGGGCATTGTCAGTTTTCAAGGAATGAGGCTTGCCCATGACTGACATGGTACGAACAAGGTGATTGCAAACATGCTTAACTTGTTCTCCCCTTTGAGGGGTGGCCCAAATAAAGCCAGAGAACGTATCAAGGCAAACATGTATGAACTTCCAAGGTGAAAAAGGGGCGAAGTGAGTTACATCCATTTGCCACAACTGGTTGGCTGCCAGCCCACGGGGATTAACACCAGGGCTGGGGTGGCCAATCTGATTAGAGCATTGAGGGCATTGTTGGATAATTGCACGTGCCGCTTCCAACGGGATTTGGAACTGGCGGCTAAGGGCTTTTGCATTTTGATGATGGAAAGCATGACTTTCAATAGGGGAAACAGGCAAAGCTCGAAGCAAAGAATCTGCTTTTGCATTGCCATCAGTGATAAAGCCTGGGAAGGGTTGGTGAGAGCGAATGTGCACCACAAATAGAGGGTGGGAGCGATTAGAAAGAAGCAATTGTAAGGATAGGAAAAGGCTCAATAAGTTGTCATCCAATAAAGGACTTACATAACTGCCTTGTAGACGAGTTATGACATTTGCAACATAAAGACTGTCCACTACCAAATTAAAGGGCTGTGAGGAGAAGTGGTGCAGAGCTTTGACAGCAGCTGCTAACTCAGAACGCTGGGCAGACTTTTGTGGAAGAGTGTAGAGGCTGTGCCATTCCTCATTTTGTTGCCAGGCAACCACCCCCCTGGAGGGGGATCCGTCAGTAATGACAGTAGGGGCATCCAAAGGGACAGGAGATAATATGGAAGAGAAAGACAGGGAAATTTGTTTGCTCATTTGCAGGCGAGGGTCGGCTGGGATATGGCAAGCCACTTGGCCAACAAAATCGGCTAAAGCGCACTGCAAATCAATGCTAGTGGAGAGAGCAGTTTCCCATTGGAATTCAACATTCCTTGTGGTAGGACTTTCCATTGGTACCGTTCCGTGGGCTGACTGTTATTTAACACAGGAACAGTAAAAGCAAAGAATTTACGATCCTTCTCCTGTAGGAGAATGGAGAAGAAACAATCTTGCAAATCTATTATAGCCAATTGATAAGAATGTGGAATCACATTTGGATTAGGCAGACCACACTGCAAGGGCCCCATGGGTTCAAGGATCTGGTTTATTTTCCTTAAATCCTGGAGAAATCTCCATTTGCCACTCTTCTTTTTTATGACGAAGATGGGGGTATTATAGGGGCTAACTGAAGGCTCTATATGGTCTGCCGATAATTGTTCATTCACTAATTGTTTTAAAGCAAGTAGCTTTTCCCGCGTTATGGGCCATTGTTCCACCCATACAGGACTGGTAGATTTCCAGCTGAGGGGAAGTGCAAGCTTACTCATTAAATTGAATGGTAGCTTGTAATTGTTGTAGTAAGTCTCTGCCCCACAGATTGAGGTGGATTTTCAGCACACAGGGCTGGATGTATGCAATGGTTTCAGAGCTATCAGGCAGAGAAACAGGCAGCCACTGTACGCTTCTGGAAGAGGTTTGGGGTCCACCCACACCCCAAACTGCAGAGGCAGACTCAAGGGGCCACGTGGGGTCCCAGCAACTACTGGAAATTACAGAAATGTCTGCGCCCGTGTCAATCAAGCCTTCCAGCACTATACCATTGATTTTATACTTACGAAGAAGTTTCTTTTCACCAATCCTCTGGACTACAGCTAACAGCTGTGGAGGGAAAGAAGAGAGCTCGTGCAAATTACTATCCATAATAGAAGCAGTAGGATGAGAAAGGAGCACCACCAAATGCGCCCAGGACTCACCCTTATTTAACTGCATGGGCATATGGCTCCAAAGTTGAACCATTATTGTGCCCACATAGTCAGGATCCAGAACTCCTGGAATAACCTGGATTCCTTCTTTTGCCGCAGAAAATTTGGGTAAAATTAAACCTGCGACTTTAGGAGCTAGTGGGCCTGCCAATTGGGTGGGCATAAGCACAATTTCACCAGGTAAAACAGTGTCTTTGGTCTCTTGGTTGATCAATTCAATGGTAAAATCAGAGGGTGTATATTTAGAAAATTTTTCAGCAGCGGAAACTAAAGGCGGAGGGCTCTCTATTTGTCCTGGCCCGAGAGTGGGGCCGCTATGGAGTTTCCCAGACTCCTGCACTGATTTGCCCAATGATAGCCTTTTCCACATTTCGGGCATTTTTTGGAAGGTCTAGCCTTGTTGGCAGCACCATCCCTGTTTGCCCCCCCCCCCCCCGCCAGGGGCTCTGCATTGCTTAGCAAAATGGCCTGGGCGCTTGCAATTAAAGCAATTACCTGTAGGTTTATTATTAGCTTGGATCGCGATGGTAAGCAAAGACATCGCATGGCTCTGGCTACCGACATCCGCACAAGCTTGAATCATATCGGCCAGGTCATATTTAGGGCGATGTATGATTGACTGCAATGCTTTCTTGCAATCGGTGTTTGCGTTTTCAAAGGCCAATTTTTTCATCAATTCATTTTGAGCTGTAGTGTTATCAATCTGCCTAGTGACTGATTCTTTCAATCTATCTATAAACTGATGGTAGGGCTCCGAATGCTGTTGCTTAATATTGACAAAGGAGCTCAGCGGTTGCCCTGAGACAGGGACTTTCCGAAAGGCGCGTTGTACACAGGTCGCGGTGCGACTAAAATGTAGAGGTGTCAGCGTCGCCTGGGCTGGTATATTATCATACTGACCCGTGCCATAAAGTTGATTGGCTGTATGCTGCGGATCAGACAGGGCTGATGCGCTATGTTTAAATTCACTCTCAAACACCACATACTGAACCGGGGATAAAAGCATGCGCATCAGGTCTTTCCAGTCTTGAGGTAGCATTGTGTAACCAGTTGCTATTCCTTCTAGCATTCCTATTACATAAGAGGATTTTAGACCGGAATCAGTAATGGTTTTCCTTAATTCTCTCATTACAGAATAAGGAAGCGTCTCGTAAAAAACCTGCTGTTGAGCAGTTCCTGGGTTTGTATAGGTGATAGGGAAAGCAGATGGCATGTCACCAGCCCACTCAGATTCCTCCTCTAAGGACAGGAGCCCTTTCTGCCTAGCCAGAGAAAGCGCAGCGCGCACAGCTCCTGTAGAGCAAACAGGGGCTGTGGCAGGCGAAGGAGGGATGGGGGGGAGGATGCAGGCTGAGACGGTTGAGACGTAGGGAGGGGTTGGCAGGGGGCAGGTGTTTGAGGAGGGGAGAGGCAGGGTTGCGAAGGAGGCAAAAGCTTTGGGTAAGGTGGGGGATTGTCTGCAATGGCCAGAAGGGCAGGGGTCGAGGGAGACGCCTGGGGTCCTAATTTAGCAACGGCATCTGCACATTTCTGCCAAGTGAGCAGACAATGAATCGGAGCCCTCGGTTCTGCAAAGAGGGTCTTTCCGATCTTTTGCCAAGTTTCTACTTCCAAAGAACCAGTTTCTGGATAGGAAGGGCACTGGCAAGCAATCTCGCATAGCAATTGTTCAATTTCCTTTAAAGAAATATGAACACCTACCACCCGCTGTCTAACTAGATGAAGCAATTCTTTAGCATGCTCTTTTTGGAATTTAGTCAATTCCCCTTCCATACTCACGAAATAGCGCGCTGAGACTTTTCCAGTCGAGTGAAGTATGAGGGCTGGCTGCATAAGGGATCTGGCAAATCACGTCGGGGTCACCAATTTGGTCTCTGGTTCCTCTGCCTCTTCTAAATCCAGCTTGCACTTCTGGGAGTTCTCAGTCCACATACTGCTTGAGCCTACCTTGTAGAATTTTAAGCATAAACAGGCGATTAGAACATTACAAACTCAATATTCTATGATAGTTAATGAGGAAATCAGCTGGAAAATAAAAAGAATGAAACAAAAATATTTTTATTTTTATTTTTATTTTAGTGAAAGCAAGGAAGTTCTTTATTTTTCTGTTGCAACAGAGTTCCAATACAGGTATGCAGGACCTTTTTAAAAAAATGTTTTTTATTAGGCATTTCAACATAACAATTTACCAAAAATACATCATCCTCATCCCCCCCATTTTCCCCCTCCCCCTCCCCCAAAATAAAAACCCACCCTCCCATCCCACCCTCCAGACTTCCCTCAGCTCCTCTCTCTGGTTTTTCAGCACATGTTATTCTCTGCATGTTGTAAAATTGTAAAGATCCTTAATTTATCTATCTATATACAGTGGTGCCCCGCAAGACGAATGCCTCGCAAGACGGAAAACTCGCTAGACGAAAGAGTTTTCCGTTTTGGAGGTGCCTCGCAAAACGAATCTGCAATGGGCTTGCTTCGCAAGACGAAAATGTCTTGCGAGTTCCTGGGTTTTTTTTCCCCTTTCCCCCCTCTTTTTCTAAGTCCCTAAGCCGCTTATCTGCTTATCTGATAAGCTGATAAGCCGCTAAAGCCGCTAAAGCCGCTAAAAGCCGCTAAAGCCGCTAATAGCGCTAATAGCGCTAATCCGCTAATCCCGTCAATGGGCTTGCTTCGCAAGACGAAAAAACCGCTAGACGAAGAGACTCCCAGAACGGATTCTTTTCGTCTTGCGAGGCACCACTGTATTACCAATAAAAAGTTTGTGTATGTTTATTCAAAACCTGCCAAGGAGTCCAGTTCATTTTGTTGTTTCTTTAAGTACTTTGTAAAGGGTTCCCATTATTCTTTAAAATCACAGTTGTCCTTATCACGTAGTTTGTGTCTCAATTTCGCCAATTCCACATAATCCATCAATTTTTCTTGCCACAGTTTCTTGGTCGGGATTTCTTCATTCTTCCATCTTTGTGCTATTAAGACTCTTGCCGCCGTTGTCGCATACATGAAGATGTTTTTCAATTTCCTTGGCAGGTTTTTTCCTACAATCCCTAACAAAAATGTTTCAGGCTTTTTTACAAATGTTAATTGGAACATTTTCTTCAACTCATTATATATCATTTCCCAGAATTTTTTAATTTTACTACAATCCCACCACATATGGTAAAAAGTCCCTTCTTTTTCCTTACATTTCCAACATATATTTGAACCAGTTTTATACATTCTTCCTATCTGCACTGGTGTTATATACCATCTATACATCATTTTCATGTAATTTTATTTCGACAAAGAGCAATCTGTAAATTTTAACTCAATTTTCCACAATCTTTCCCAGTCTTCAAACATTATATTGTGACCTATATCTTGTGCCCATTTAATCATAACTGATTTCACCTCTTCATCTTTTGTTTCCCATTCTAGCAGAATACTATATGCACCTTTCAGCAGCTTCACCTTCCCTTCTACAACTTCCTTTTGGAATCTAGATGTCATATAAAAAACTGTCTTCTTTGTATATTTCATGTAATTGCCGATAGTGTAACCAACTCTGAAAGTGGTCTTTTATTTCCTCATAATCTCTTAATTTCCATTTTCCGTAAGCCACTTTCCTTTCTTTCCAAGTGGTTTGAGCAGTAAAGCTTCATGTGGTGAAAGCCACCAAGGGGTCTTCTGTTCTAAGAGATCTTTATATCTCTCCCATACTCTCATTACTGATTTCCTAATTATATGGTTATAGAAACTTTTATGTACCTTCCCTTTCCCATACCATAAGTATGCATGCCAGCCAAAGCTATTGTCATGTCCTTCCAATCCTAATGCTTCTTGCTTTTTCAGCTTCATGCAGTCCCTAATCCATACCAGGCATGCAGCTTCATAATATAATTTAAAGTCTGGGAGGGCAAAACCGCCTCTATCTTTTCCATCTGTAAGTATCTTATACAGTGGTACCTTGGGTTACATACGCTTCAGGTTATATGCGCTTCAGGTTACAGACTCCACTAACCCAGAAATATTACCTCGGGTTAAGAACCTTGCTTCAGGATGAGAACAGAAATCGTGCAGCAGCGGCAGCAGGAGGCCCCATTAGCTAAAGTGGTGCTTCAGGTTAAGAACAGTTTCAGGTTAAGAACAGACCTCCGGAACGAATTAAGTACTTAACCCGAGGTACCACTGTATTGGCTAAGAATCTGTGTATACGGCCCTCCCCATTTCCTCTTAACCCATTCCTGCCCAGGAAATTAAGGGGGTATGGGACACATCTCTTCACTCTACCCACCGAAATGAACAAAGAGAAAGCGAAGATTAGGCAGGGAAAGAAGCTGCTCTCAAGAAATAGCTCAGCCCTCCTCCCTTGCTTTTATCCACTCAGTTAAGAAAACCCACAGGGCTTAATTCGAGTGGTAGGGAGGAGGAAAAGAAAGAGAGGAAGGATCGCAGCTAGCAGTACGAGCAATACCACGCTTGCTAGTACAGCATGCGATGTGCCTCATGATACCCACTACCAACACTTTGCGGAAGAGCCACAGCGGGGCGGTAGCACCACCTCTTTACGTAAAGAAACGTTTCAACGGGCTGGAACGTGAGGCTTCCCAACGAACCCGAGCCTCATCACTGGGCTCGAGAGATCCGCACCACTACCAACAGCAGACGCCCGGTAATATGATCACTTCCGGTAGGTCAGAAGGTAGGTGAAAAAGCAGAAGCGAGCGAGTTAATGTCTGTTTGTTTGAGTGAGCGGATGAGCGCGGAAAAGAGGGCAGGAGCCGGCTTGCCCACTGCATTTCTCCACACCCTAAGTGAGATTGTGGCCGAAAAACCTGAAGCTTTTTTCGAGCTACCCGGCAAATGTTTCTGGGGAGGGTGGACTCCCAGTATGCCGAGCGGCCGGATGTGCCGCCATCCTTTAGACTCACTTGTCACTGCGCTGATGTTTTGACAGTAACAAGGAGTGAGGCAGAGCTACCTCCTTCCCCTCTCTGGATCGCGAAAGAGGTGGGGGGTAAGGGGGCGTGACTCCTTTCTCCGTTGCCCCCTCAGGAGAGAGGCGGTTTCGGACAAGGAACCAGGCAGAGACTGAAAGAACCCTCCTTCTAGGAGCTGCGGAGGGGCCATGAGTTGCTGATAGAACCTTGCAAGAGTCGGGGTAGGGTTGCCAGGGAGACCTTCCCGCCCCTTTGGGGGAAGCAAACATCTTAGACAGAAGGGCCAATAAGGGTTCCTCCTGAGAGGAAAGACAAGGGAGGGGATCTGTCTAACAAGGAAGCAGCTGTTCTCTCTTTGGACCTGGACCACAAGCCAGAGGTAATCTGACCTGCTCTGGGGCTCTTTTTGCATGTCCTTTACAGCAGAAGGATTTGATGCCATTCAGCCTGTTCACCTCACTGGTGTTTATGTTCCCCACAGGTTTCTCTTCCCCCCAGCAGCCGTAGCTCAGGAGGTCGGACCTGCCACTGATGTTAGTAGCAGCAACTCCAAGAAGAGAAAACTAAATAGCAACAGTATTGAGTGAGAAGTTGAATCCATCTTCTCTTGCTCCTCCCTTCTTTCCAGAAGCAACTCCTCCATATCATCTATTATTACTACTACCAGCTCCCTTTTTTCATCTGGGGTCTCTTCCAACCATCACCTGCAGAAGAAGGTGTGCTTTAAGGACTCATTGGACCTTTTTGGACTTGATGTGAAGATGGCCGAAGAGTCTTCCCAGCAGCAGCTCAAAAACAAAAGTGTCTTAATTTCCTCTGTAGCTGTGGGACATCACACAAATGGCCTGACCAAAGCTGCCTCCTCTACTGTCTCCAGTTTTGCCAGTGGTAAACCTGGGTCATCCAAGAAGTTAGTGATCAAGAACTTTAAAGGTAACATGATGATGCCATTCTTTATCTCTGAAATATGTATCTACATGAGGGATGGCCTGTACAGTATATTGCAGAAATCTTGCATGGGTGAGGGCTTATTCATTACACTGTGACATGGAATCCTTTGTTAGAGGAAGCCAGGCCACTTACCAGGTCTCTGTTACAACTTTATCTCCAAGTGTAGCCCTTTCTTTTTTGCTAAACCAAAAAACTGTCAGCTGCTCTTTCATATAGAATGCACAAAAGAGGCATGCTCTGTGGGGTTAAATCTCCATGTAACTGGTGACTAGAGGGGGAGGAACAGGGATTGTTTTTTCTTCTCCAGTGGCATTCAGAATTAAGCCAGTCCTCCTCAACATGGCCACACCCCTTCACTATACATCCCTGCTCCAGGTTCCATTTCTTGCTGCAGTTTTAGTGTGTAATGGAATATGAAGTTTTTAAAAGTACAACGAAAAGAGAAAAAGTCAAGAGCAGCCTAATTTTAAATAGTTACAGATAGAAATTGTAACTTGGAAAAACCAAGTTTTTGTGAAGCTTTACAGCTCTATTCCATAAGTTAGTGGGTGGAGCGTCTCAAGCAAAGCTGTGTGCCATTCCCTGCGGCTGCATCATGCATGTGAGGACCTCTGCTCTGGAGTAGTAGTACAGTACTTACACAGAATAGTGCAGAACATCCTTGACCCTCTCCTAAAACCATACACAGGAAATGAGGTGGCAGCACTTCATTCGTTTCCTTCTTCCTCAGTCGGTTTGGGGTAAAACATTAGAGATACAATCATCTCTACAAATGTAATTTGAATCAAGCACAGTTGTTTGCCAGAGGCAATTCATCTTGTGGGGAAGGGAAGGAGCCTATCCTTTTCTGGAATTTTGTGTTCCCCAAGATTTGTCTGCCTCCATAATTTGAGAACCTGTCAGGGTCTTCTAAAGTGACAAAATATGGACAGATGCAAAAATATTCCCTCTGGTGTTTGGTTGAGTCCCAGGTAAAAGGACAGGCAGAAAATGAGAGGGAGCTGAAGTTGATCTTGGCTGAACCCTCAGAATTTTACAGCATGATGTAATTAGGGTGTTAAATTGGGAATGTGGAGTTCCTTCGATAAATTGAACTTCAGCTAACAAAAGACCATGAACTGCTATTCTTTGGTTAATTCTGGTACCTTTATGGGTAAGAGGGGGAAAGCTTAGAGTGATACCTGCTCATACCTGTAAAGCAGGTGTGAATATGTTTTTCTTTGGCATTGAAGAGCTTTGTTGTATCCTGTTTGGAAAACTCCCTTGTGTCTTTAAATATGTCTCATAAGACAGTTTTGCCTCTTAAGCACATTAGTTAACTTATTTATTTTAAAAGAAAGTATCTTAAGTATCTTATTTCAGGGAATGACAGCTAGTTAGAATATCTTGGTGGTTTGTTTCTTTCCTTCACTCTATTAAAAAAAGCAATACAGGTGGTCCTTATTTTTGTAATTTTGGCCTCACCATCATAAGCACATTCCTGTTTGTGTACCCTAGAAGTGCATATCAAGTTGCCTTTTGTTAAACAATGTTTGCCTTTCCCAGACACTTCCACTCATTAAAAAAAAAAATTCTGCTTCTGACTGGTAAATGTGAATCCTGCAGATGTATTTCCTGACTCATATGTAAATCCAGTTCTTATTGAGTACCTATTTGATTCTTTTTTTGCTCCTTTTGGGCAAATGTCTCAGTGTCAAATTAATGGTACCACGCATGTGCTGTGAATTTGCATATCTAGTCTGTGTCTTCTCCTTCCTCTATATCAGAGGGCCAGATTTGATGAAGTGAACATGAGTGAGGGCCGACCAAAGTTGTTTTTAGAACTGAGGTTGTTGGGCATTTTTAGAATTTAATCCCAGAATTGTTGAACTTTTTTTTACAATTTTACCCCAAAGTTCTTGAGCTTTTCTTAGGATTGAGGTTGCTGAGGTTTTTTTTTAGGATTTTACCCCAAGACATGTACTTCCATGGGGTTCAGATTAAATTGACCGGCGGGCCGGATTAGGCCCCTGAAACGGACTTTGGACATGCCTGCTCTATATACACCACTCTTACCACAACTGAAGAGTGTGCAAACGTCTGAGGATGAGGATATTTCTTTAGCTGAATTGGTAGCTCTAGAATTGGTACTGATATCAACTGTACTAGAAAATCTGGTGACATCTGGTGTTCAGGTCACATGTATTGATACATTGCCTGAAACTGGTTTAAAGTTAAAATCATGTATTGGAGTACTTGTCTAATGTGCATCTGGTGATAGATCCATGCCATGAGACAGACTGCTACATTGTCTACCTGCTGAAGATTCTGAAAAATCCTCAAGAGAAGCTTTGCATACAGCACATTATAGTAGAATATTTCTGAAGGCATAAATGCTTTATAGGTCTGACTATGAAAGAAAATTGGCATCCTAGTTTTCTACAGGACACCTATGTAATTAGCAAAGCTGTCAAGTTCAGTGTGAATGTCCTCATGATCTGCAATCAGTTGGCTTGATGGTTCTTTTGTCCTCCCCAATTCAACTGGTTCACCACTCTGATGGGGTCATAGTTTGGTAGAGGTCTGTGCTGTTAAGAGTTAATGTTTGGTTTTAATTTGTTTTACTTGGAAGTCACCACTGTGGATAAATAAATTGCAACACTAAATAACTTCTACCTTTAGCTACTGATGGGACAGAGTTCCGGTTTCAGCTGGAACTCACAGGAACTCAGTTCCTGCACCTCTCAGGTTGGTACTATTGCCATTATAAGAGAGCAAGGGAAGCATTCATGGTGAGTTCTGGCACCTCTCTTTCTAGAAAAATAGCACTGCTGCTCTCTTAAAAAAAACCCAACAGTTTACAGCAATAAAACATAAACCCCTTACAGTAGAAACCATATAAACAGACATTCTTCCTAGGTTATGAGTTTTATTTATTATTTATTACATCAAATTTATGTACTGCTTGATAGTAGAAAAAACCTAAATGATTGATGTCTTACAGAAGTGTGGGTATTATATGGCACCTGTAAAACACTGAATTCTGCCAAATGAAGTGGTTGAGTGGGCAGATGGGTAAGGTGATCTCATAAGTAAACTGATCCCAAGTTATTAAGGGCTTTATATACTAATAGTAGAGGGACGCGGGTGGCCCTGTGGGTTAAACCACAGAGCCTAGGACTTGCCGATCAGAAGGTCGGCGGTTCGAATCCCCGCGACGGGGTGAGCTCCCGTTGCTCGGTCCCTGCTCCTGCTAACCTAGCGGTTCCTAAACACATCAAAGTGCAAGTAGATAAATAGGTACCGCTCTGGCGGGAAGGTAAAAGGCGTTTCCGTGTGCTGCTCTGGTTCGTTAGAAGCGGCTTAGTCATGCTGGCCACATGACCCGGAAGCTGTACGCCGGCTTCCTCGGCCAATAAAGCGAGATGAGCACCGCAACCCCAGAGTCGGTCACGACTGGACCTAGTGGTCAGGGGTCCCTTTACCGTTATACTAATAGTAACACCTTGAACTTGGCCTGGCAGCAAATCGGCAACCAGTTCAGACCTCTAAGCACAGGTGTTATATGCTGATAAGGCCTCACTCCTGCCAGCAGTTGTGCTGCAGCATTCTGTACTAACTGCAGCTTTTGGATAAAGTACAAGGGAACCCCCCTGCCCAAGAGCACATTGCAGTAATCCAATCCCAAAGTAACCTCTGCATGAAATGCTGTGTCCAGGTTCTCTTGGTCCAGGAATGGCTGTAGCCATCAAACCAGTTGGAGTTGGTAAAAGGCACTTCTAGCCATTGAGACTACTTGAGCCTCCAGTGACAGAGCTGGATCCAGAAGCACCTCCAAACTGCAAACCTCCTCCTTGAGGGAGTGTAACCGCATCCAGGGTAGGCAATTGGCCAGTTTTTCAGACATGAACTAACCCACAGTGCCTCCATCTTACCAGGATTCAAGCTCACTGCTGTGTCCAGGCAGTAGCCCAGTGACACAGAAGTAAATCTTGTGGGTCACTATTGAAAGCTCACTAAATGGGCCTTTGGTTGGATCCAGAAGAGCTGTTCTTATGTTCTTAAAAAAGACACTTTTTAAAAAAAATATCTTCCAGATAAACCTAAACTGCCTGAAAATTACACAGATGAAACCTGGCAAAAACTGAAAGAAGCTGTAGAAGCTATTCAAAACAGTACTTCCATTAAGTACAACTTAGAAGAGCTCTATCAGGTAAGTGTCAAAACTTGTAGTGTTCAGAACCATAGGTAAAGTCCTACATGACTGAAAGCAATCCTGATGTTTTTAGGCCACTTTGTAGGGCCTCAAACAAGATCCTGATTTCGAGTGTGGGAATGATCTCATAATCACTCAGTGAGGTGTGACCTCAGGTTGGACAAATGGCATTTCAGATGACCAACAAGAGCTCCTTCACAATTTCATTTCTGGGCTTGTCAAGCGAGATTTACTTTTTCCATCAGCCCAGTAGAAATATTCATATGTTAATCTGACCTGCTGATTTCTGGTATGTTCACTATTGGCTTATAGTAGTGCTTTAACAAACACTGGCCACAATTTTAAGTGTCCTGCAGTTCAGAGATTGGCAGACTACACTTCAAAGCACATCTCCAAGGGTGCAGTGCTTGTCTGACCCAAGATTCTCTAGATGGATATGCTGAGCAGTTTCACAAGGAAGCAAAGGGTCTTATTGTTGGAATGGACACTTCCATCCCAGTTTGCTTCAGGATTGTGGTGTGCTAGTACAGACTTGTTGTGAAGTTTAATCATCCCAGAAGAGAGGGACAGGGAGGCTCCTTTACAGGACCTCTATCTGGAGTGTCAGGAAGTTCAAGTGGACCTGCCTTCTGATATATATATATATATATATATATATATATATATATATATTTATTTATATTAGCCCACTCTTATAAAATATCAATATGGTTTACAGCAGTTGATAAAATAGGACATAAAATACAATAAAACATTCTTGGTGTTTACCAAGCTGTGCAGCACTCAACTTGTGATGCTAATGGGAATGAAAATTAGTACACTAATCTTGGCTTGTTCTTCAGATAGTTAAGGGGTATGCATCAGTAACTGGAAACAGCTAGAAAATAAAGTTGCCAGGAGTAGAATCCAAGTTACAGTATTGCTAACAATATGGAACTTAAGTTGCTTACTGTGTTTTTTCAAAGAGGTTTACAAAAAATATAAAATAATAAAATTATCACTAAAAAATTGCAACCATAATTTAAAACATACAGAAAGTTCAAACCATAATAGAGTAGGCTATAACAAATTCAAACTAAAACAAGCTTTCTAAACATCTCGGTAGGCTTGTTTAAATAGTAATGTCTTCAGCAGGCACTGGAAAAAATACAGTGAAGGCACCTGCCTGATATCAATAGGCAGGGAGTTACACAGTGTTGGTGCTGTCACACTAAATGAAATGAAGTACTAACAAGAATTCGTTCAAAGCGTTAATTCTATCATGCAACAGCAAGCTATCACTCTGCTTTGGAACACATTTTTAAAAGAATCATAAGAATCAAGGCCAGAATGCGGCTTGCCACTCTTAATTATTGGCTGAGACTAGCCTCCCTTCTGAGCGGCCTTGCTTCCTTGACTATCAAAGATGATTTCCACTTGATATGGAAACGAGCAGTGGATAATATAATAACTCTAGGATTCAATCCACAGTTCTTACTTAGCATGGGGAACGAACAAGCAAAAACATTATTAAACAGCGTGTGGTAGACATAGAACGACAAGCAGACCTAACCAGGTCCCCCAATTTTTTAATTAGCAAAACCAGAAGATACTCAACTTCCCAAATGCCATACATAGCTAATCTTGAAATACCAAAACAACCAAGGGCTTTCACCTTGACCCGTTGTCAGGCCCTCCTTTCAGCAGTACAGGAAGGCCGTTATAGGAAGATACCATATGACGAGAGGAAATGCCCATGTGGCTCTGGGCAGCAGGAAACAACGGAGCATGCCCTTCTTCATTGCCAGTATTACATAGACATTTGAGCCAGGTTTATCCAGCCCATCCTATGTAAGTTCTCTGGGCATTCAGAACAACACTACATCTCCCTATTACTACAGGATGAAAGCCCAGAAGTGACATATTTCGTCGCCAGATTTTGCACCACCATGATAGATATTCGCCGAAGGATGGTCTATGTTACTAATCAGACCTAAATAGAAGGCCCATATTGTTATATCCGCACTTCTGAAGCCCCATCCCATACAGCTGTTCTTTTTTAACTGATCTCTCTTAAATTTTCCTTATTGGTTTTTATTCATCCATTATCTATGCTTAATCAAGTATTCTATGTATATGTTTTAATCTACGTTTGGTCCTTGCTCCCAATTAATTTAATAATTATCCACTTAGAGATACAGTTATGCTATTTATTTAGATGTTTTGCTTATGCTGGTCTGTGAACATAATAAAGTAAATTCATTATAAATAATATAAATAAATATAAATAAATATAAATATAAATTCATTATAAATAAAATTTATTATTATTCATTCAGAATTCTTTCAAAGCATTAATTCTATCATGCAACAGCAAGCTATCACTCTGCTTTGGAATGGCATCAGAAGTAGTGTTGAAAGCTGCAACCAAGGTGTAGGCAGTGGAAAAATCAGAGGAGCATGTTCCTCCATTTATGCAAGTAGCAGTGCCTTGTATTTACTCAAAAACGTATCTGGATCACACCCCGTGTGCTCAGAATTTTCAGGATAGTGGCCAATAACAAGGGATATTTTGCTATGGTTTGAAATTATGTTACTTGTGATTGTGCTTCTCTAGATCAGTGCCTCAGGTATATATTTCATTGACTACAAACAGTTCTGTAAACTCAAAACCTGTTATATTTCTTTGTTACTGTTTGTATTTCATGTTAGGTCTGTATAATTTTTAGTGGTGATATTGTAAAGACATTTGCTGACACAGGGTGATAGTCAACTAAGTCCTACTCAGAACACACCCATTGAAATTCCTGAAACTAAGCCAAATCCGTTAACTTCGCTAGGTCTGCTCTGAGTAGGACTAGTGTTGAATACAACTCTTAACTTTGATCTTGTAATTGTCTGGTGATGCCACATCAGGTCGGCCTGTTTTTTTTAAACTCACCTGGAAGAAATAATTTCAGCTTGTGTTCTTTTGAGAGCTGACGTGTAAATAAAAAGCTATATATTGCAGATGGAGTTCTGAAAATGTTTGTGGATTACTTTCATATATCCTTTTCTTTTTTTAGGCTGTTGAAAATCTCTGCGCATATAAGATTTCTGAAAATTTGTACAAGCAATTAAGACAGATTTGTGAAGACCATATCAAAGCACAGATCCATCAGTTAAGAGAATATCCTTTTTGAGTAGTAAGTAACGTGGCTGAAAAGAGTTTCACCACTCAGTGTGTCACTTTGAAGTCCTGTAAAATGCAATATGAGAATCGCATGGATTAAGAACCATTCAAAGTCATTACTTGTGAATTCTTATGCTGGTTGCGTCATGACTGATGTAACTCTGGGCCCTTGAAAAGGGGTAGCATAAGGCTCATTGGACCCACGTACCTACGGGACCGCCTCTCCTGGTATGCCCCGCGGAGGACCTTCAGGTCCACAAATGACAACATTTTGAAGGTCCCAGGTCGCAAAGTGGTTAGATTGGTCTCAACTAGGGTTAGGACCTTTTCAGTACTGGCCCCGACTTGGTGGAATGCTCTGTCACAAGAGACTAGGGCCCTGCGGGACTTGACATCTTTCCGCAGGGCCTGCAAGACAGAGCTGTTCTGCCTGGCCTTTGGTTTGGACTCAGTCTGACCCTTATGTTTCCCTCCCCTTATGGTTGTGATGAGGCTGCATTTTAAATTGCATTTTAACCTGTATTTTAAATTGTTTCCCCCCTTATGATTTTACTGTAATTTTACTGGTGTTAGCCGCCCTGAGCCTGGCTCTGGCCAGGGAGGGCAGGGTATAAATAAAAGTTATTATTATTATTATTATTAGACTGATTAGAAAATATTGAACTATTCTGTTGGTTAGAAATAAAACAGAATGGGGAGGGTTGGTTAACCTTAGGGTTGCCATATTTTGAAGAGCAAAATTTGCCGACTTCTAGGTCAATATTGTTTACACTGACTGGCAGCAGCTCTCCAGGGTTTCAGGCAGGGACTCTTTTCCAAACACCCGCCTGGAGATGCCGGGGATTGAATCTGGGGCCTTCTGCATTAAGAGCAGATGCTCTGCCACTAAACTATGGCCCTAAAATAAACAAGATCGCATGAGCAGAGAGAGGTTTAAAGAGATGGACAGACCCTGGATGAGGCTCTCACTCACAGGAAGTCATTAGGCAGAGGCTGGGCAGCCACCGTAGTGTAGGGGGTAGAACGCTGGACTTGAAGGGGGGAGAAAAGGGACACAGAGGAGGGGGGAGGGGGAAGCCCTTGGAGGGATGAGGGATATAGGAATTTGGAGGGATGAGGGATATAGGAATTTGTAGTATTGGGGTTGTGTTCAGCCAAAAGCTCCAGGAAGCCTTGACTTTTCAGTACCTAAAGAGCCTCTTTGACCTTCATTTTTATAATGGCTGAAATTCAGAGAGATGCACACATCAGTGTTTCTCTCTTTCCATCTGAGCATCTCCCCTGTTAAACTGTAGGATGGGTCTTAAAAGTCTGTTTGGGCTCTAATACAAGGACTTTTGAAACAATAAGAAGCAAGGGAGGCAGGATTTGATGTTCATAACCCTGAGGCTGTGCGCATGCTTACAATATTGCAGGATTACAAAGTTTTGAATAAATTATGGGTATTAACATCAATTTTTAACAAATAACTTGGAAGATTAGCTAACTTATTTCATGACTCTACTACTGATTTTAGTGGCAACGTGCCACCAACATAGTACACCTTTAGATTTGAATTGTGGGGTAATTGTTCTGGTCTCTATGCTTTTAGCTGTTTTTAGGTGAACATCTTTTGCATAGCCATATCCTAAACTAACAAAGGCTTTAAAATAGGGTTTGACAGTTTCTTTTGTTTCAAAATGAATTTTCTAGCAATGATGCAGAAGAACAGTATCATCAGGTGTTGGTGTTGTCTCAATTATTGTGTTAAATATTCTTAACTTCTTCCTCATGGATTCATTGGACAGTGTTCTTTTTCTCAAGAAAATAGACAAATGTTGGCAAGACCACTGTAGACAAATGGTAAGGCTTATTTTTCTTTCAAATAATATTTACGGTATGTGAGCTTGGATCCAAAGATGGCTCTCCCCCCCATCTGCAGCTCCCTGAAAACTGGCTCTAGGGGTCCATAGACTATCTTGAGCAGCTTTCCAAGGGTCAGAGATAGCTGCAGGGGGGGGGGGCAAGATAATTGGACACACACACACACACACACACACAGGATTAAACGCCCATTTGCAGATACAGTGGTACCTCGGGTTAAGAACTTAATTCGTTCTGGAGGTCTGTTCTTAACCTGAAACTGTTCTTAACCTGAAGTACCACTTTAGCTAATGGGGCCTCCTGCTGCCGCTGCACGATTTCTGTTCTCATCCTGAAGCAAAGTTCTTAACCCGAGGTAATATTTCTGGGTTAGTGGAGTCTGTAACCTGAAGCGTACAGGTGAAACTCGGAAAATTAGAATATCGTGGAAAAGTTCGTTTATTTCAGTAATTCAACTTAAAAGGTGAATCTAATATATGAGATAGACTCATGACATGCAAAGCGAGATATGTCAAGCCTTTATTTGTTATAGTTGTGATGTTATGGCGTACAGCTGATGAAAACCCCAAATTAACAATCTCAGAAAATTAGAATATTAAATGAAATCAGCAAAACAAGGACTGCAAATAGAGCAATATTGGACCTCTGAGAAGTAGAAACATGCATATGTACTCAGTACTTGGTTTGGGCCCCTTTGCATCAATTACTGCCTCAATGCGGCATGGCATGGATGCGATCAGCCTGTGGCACTGCTGAGGTGTTATGGAAGACCAGGATGCTTCAATAGCAGCCTTCAGCTCTTCTGCATTGTTCAGTCTCATGTCTCTCATCTTTCTCTTGGCAATGCCCCATAGATTCTCTATGGGGTTCAGGTCAGGCGAGTTTGCTGGCCAATCAAGCACAGTAATCCCATGGGCACTGAACCAGGTTTTGGTACTTTTGGCAGTGTGGGCAGGTGCCAATTCCTGCTGGAAAATGAAGTCAGCATCCCCATAAAGCTCGTCTGCAGAAGGAAGCATGAAGTGCTCCAAAATCTGCTGGTAGACGGCTGCGTTGACCCTGGTCTTAATGAAGCACAGTGGACCAACGCCAGCTGATGGCATGGCTCCCCAAATCAACACTTCACACTGGACTTCAAGCATCTGGCATTGTGTGCCTCCCCATTCTTCCTCCAGACTCTGGGTCCTTAGTTTCCAAATAAGATGCAAAAGCTGCTCTCATCAGAAAAGAGGACTTGAGACCACTGAGCAACAGACCAGTTCTTTTTTTCCCTTTAGCCCAGGCAAGATGCTTCTGACGTCGTTTCTTGTTCAGGAGCGGCTTGACAAGAGGAATACAACATTTGAAGCCCATCTCCAGGATCCGTCTGTGTGTGGTAGCTCTTGATGCACTAACTCCAGCCTCAGTCCACTCCTTGTGAAAGTCCCGAACACGTTTGAATGGTCTTTTCCTGACAATCCTCTCTAGGCTGTGGTCATCCCTGCTTCTTGTGCACCTTTTTCTTCCACACTTTTCCCTTCCGCATAACTTTCCATTAATGTGCTTCGATACAGCACTTTGGGAACATCCAACATCTTCTGCAATTACTGTTTGAGGCTTTCCCTCCTTATGGAGGGTCTCAATGATGGCTTTCTGCACAACTGTCAGGTCAGCAGCCTTCCCCATGATTGTACTTCCTACTGAACCCATTGCAGGTGTTATGGATTGAATAGCTACTGCACCTTTTCACAATATTCTTATTTTCTGAGATTGTTTATTTGGGGTTTGTATCAGCTGTACCCCATAATATCACAATTATAACAAATAAAGGCTTGACATATCTTGCTTTGTATGTCATGAGTCTATCTCATATATTAGTTTCACCTTTTAAGTTGAATTACTGAAATAAATGAACTTTTCCACAATATTCTAATTTTCTGAGTTTAACCTATATGTAACCTGAAGCATATGTAACCCGAGGTATCACTGTAGTAAACTCAGTCCTTTACAGCAGAATGCAGCAGAAGCAACTGTGGTTGGAATAGTAACATCAAAGGTTTTATTTATAAAGCAAATAACAAAACAGCAAGACAACTCTCGCATCCCTCTTTTTCAGCAGAGGAGCAGAGAGAGGGAGGGAGGAGACATTTAAATAGTTCCCATACTCATACATCAATTAAGTAATTAAAAGCAACCAACAACATTATGCAATGTGAGAATGAGACATTACAATACTGACACACACAAGCTTTCTGCTCACTGATATTTAGGCAAATACAACTTTTTGTTTTGTACCAGTGTCAGGTAATGATGCTTGCAATTTGTATTTAAGACTTATTTTTTGTTGTATTGCTTTTGTGACCTGATGGCTGGGCATTCATTTTGCAACTCTTAGAGACAGTTTGTGTGACTTAGAATACAGACTCTGTTATACAGCCAGGGAACATAGAACCCCTAGGAGTTATGCAGCATATTTCAGTCTTATTAAGAGAACCTTTATTGGGATGGATCTCAGCAGCTTAAAAAGGCAATGCCATAAAAGCATATTGAAGAAGCATTTCATTAAGATATCATATGAAGAAATAGATTAAAATTTATCCACATCTCAGTATGTGGAGGGACTGAAGTTTCTCCTGGTGAAGGGAAGTGGGGCATCTATTGTCTCTTAACCTGACCTGGTTGTGGAAGCATACACATTGATGGGGCAATTAAGAGGATGTGCACCATTCACCTTAAAGAACATGAATAGAGCAAGAGGGAGGAGGTGGTCAGTTCATATACTTGACTTTCTAAAGTTGCAGTCAGTAAGCAGGCCTATTTGGAAGCAAGTCCCGTTAAAATTGGTGGCCTTTCCTTCCAAGTAAGCATATTTAGGATTGGGGCACAAGAATGATATTGAGATGGATACATAATGGTAGACATAGCATTTAAAACTGGTCAATGTGTTTATGGCTTGATTTTTGTTTTCCCTCCTCCCTTGCAGATAATGATTAGAAGTATCTTTTTGTTCCTGGATCGAACATATGTTCTTCAAAATTCAACGCTGCCATCAATTTGGTGAGGAAGAAAAGAGAAGTATTGATGTTAGACTTTTAGATGCTCTGTTAAAATATGTATTCAGTCAAGGAATAAGAGGAGTGGTCCTCTTGAGGATCAGGAATTGGTTAAGTTGCAGGAAGCAAAAAATAAGAATAATTGAACAGTTCTCTGAATGGAAAGAAGGAAAAAATGGAGTCCCCTCAAGTATCAGTAGATGTCTACTCATTATGCGGCAGTTGTGGAAAAAGGCAAATTACATGCTAGGGATCATCAGGAAAGGAATTGAAAATAAAACTGCCAGTATCATAATACCTTTATACAAATCTGTGGGGTGACCACAGTTGGAATACTGTGTACAATTCTGGTTGCCTCACCTCAAAAATGATATTATGGAGTTAGGAAAAGTTCAGAAAATGATTAAAGGGGATGGAGTGTCTCCCCTATGAATAAAGGTTGTAGCATTTGGGACTTCTTAATTTAGAGAAAAAGCAAGTAGGAGGTGACATGATAGAAATTTATAAAATTATGCATGACATGGAGAAAGTGGATAGGGAGAAGTTTATCTTCCTCGTAACACTAGAACTCATGGACATCCAATGAAGCTGAATGTTGTTAGTTAAACTATGGAACTTGTTCCCTCAGGAAGTAGTGATGGCCCCCAACTTGGATGACTTTAAAAGAGGAGTAGACAAATTCATGGAGGAGAGGGCTATCAATGGCTACTAGCCACAATGGGTATGCTCTATCACCACAGTTGGAGGCAGCAATGCTTCTGAATACCAGTTGCTGGAAACCAGAGGAGAGGAGAATGCTCTTGTGCTTGAATCCTGCTTACGGGATTCCCGCAGGCATCTGGTTGGCCACTGTGGGAACAGGATGCTGGGCTAGATGGGTTATGGGCCTGATTCAGCAGGCTCTTCTTAAATTATTCCCTTTCATTCTGATAGATGACAAACTGACAGAGAATAGAGAATCTTTGCAACATGGCTGGTTGATGTGTTTTCTTTGCTGTCTCACC